TGCTAACCTCATTCTTTTCTTTTGTTTATCTACCATTAATGTGACTCGATTATACATAGAATAAAGTTACTGTCATGATTATTTCAAGCTTCGCACTTATCGAACAGAAGTAATATTTATGCTGTGAAATACGGTAATCTTTTTTTTAAATCAATACACCCAAGGAAGGCGATAATGTCAGTAAGACGCAAGGGAGCGACTGGGCGTGAAAGAGAATAAGAAAACTTTAGAAGGAACTGGATAACCAATCTTAAACAGGAAACAATGGATAAACTTTTACTCTTGTTCAAAAGACAGGGGAGGAGTGTGAACCGGACGATAGGCGAAGCTATTCCTCAAATCGAGCCGCTATCCATTAGGTGGAGGTATTTCACCGTACCTTCACACAACATGGAACATCTTAAAGGGTACACCAACAGTGTCGTACAGGACGAAAGCGTACGCAAAAGAAAAAATCTTGGCCTAGAGAATCAACATCCAAAATCCTAGTGTTTTTTTTTTATTATTTTAATCGAACACTGTTCAACGGATTCGTCTTTCTTTCGATTTTGTTTTTTTTTTACAACATGTCAACATTATGAATTAATATTTTTTATTAATGTCTTTCGACGGGATATAGAAATGCCTATTTTATACCATGTAGATTGGTAAGCGCCCTTGAAAGAATTAAATTAATACAGAATGAAATGTTAAAGATGTATCCCTGAACTAAGTAAATACATGTAGATTGAAATAGAAAAAAAACACCCAGTATTTACTTAATCTCGAACCTGAATCGAGAATAGAGGATCAACATCCAAAGTTTTGGTTTTTAGTTTTAAATGAACACCGCTCTTTGATACTGACAATATATGCGTAACGACTTCACCGAATTAGCAGGCAGCGATAAAACTCATTATCGATATGCGTTAAGTCAATCTACTTTTTTTTATAATACTAGATAGTCTACCTTACCTTGGAAACAAATAATGGCCAGTAAAGTAAAATGGAGTTTATCGGTGGACGCCGAAAGACAACTTCTTTCTTCGTTTCTAATTGAAATTTCTAATTGAGTTAGAGATTTGAAGCGGCAGATGTGGTTTTCTACTGACGAATACTGAAAAATCAAATGAACAGGTGAGTGAAGAGGAAATTTTAAGGACAATCTTCTTTTTCTACTACCATTACTACTACCACTACTAGTACCACTACTACTACTATGGGCCGCGTCCCTTTAAGACATGAATAAGTACGCCTCTCAAAGTCTCTCTACCCCGTGTGGTTCTTAGCAGATTTTCTCCCTTATTCTTTTTTACCATGTAAGTGGCTCACTGTTTTCCCCTATCTCGCTTGTTCTTAATATGTCTCGAGAGGGTTATGGGTTCCTTCATCATTTTGTTTCCAAGAACCTTTAGTTGTCTTTTCTTGATTCTGAGTATAATTTTTCTTTCTGTTGCCATTTTCTTTAAAGTATCCTTCTGTACAACCACATTTCCAATGCAGCTACTTTTTGCTTCATGCCTGAGGATATTGTCCAGCATTCATTGCCATACAAGAATAAGACAGCAATCCAACAGTCTTTTCTTTGTTACTAACGAATTTTTTTTTCCGTTTCTCGGTGCCTTGCTTAGCTTTCGGAGTGTTTCTTTCGCTAGTCCAATGCCTGTTCAGATCTCGGTCTCGCATTTTTATCCTCGGTTAAAACGCTTCCCAAATATTTGAATATCTGCTTCTGCATGATGTATCTATCTCCAATTCATAACAAAACATCTTGCACTTTGTATCTTCATGATGACCATACTTTCTGTCTTCTTGGGCTTATGGCTTGAAATTATAAAAAAAAAACATGATAATTACAATCAGAAACTTACTCTTTCTGATCATCAATGATCTTCCTGGCGTCATCAGTTCCCAAGCAGGCATTTACGCTGATGACACTACCATTTATTCAAGTCTCAGAAGTAAATCCGTCAGAGCTGACAAAATTAACCTAGCCGCTACTCTTGAAAAGAGCCTCCAATCTGTGGTTAACTGGGTCTAGAAATGGTTTGTAAATTTTAAAGCCTCCAAAACGAAACTGCTCTCGTTTACGCACCATAGAGAAACTTTCCTGTCCGCCATCAGCACGGCTGATGCTAGATTCATAGAGAGCAACACACTGCGCCTTCTTGGCCTCAGGTTTTCAACTGACTTGAAGTAGAGCGATGATGTCGAATCAATAGCTGCATCGACCGTAGGGAGATTAAAACCAGAAAGATCTAACAATTCGGTCATTCAATTGATATATCTATCGACAATATATATATATATATATATATATATATATATATATATATATATATATATATATATATATACTATATATATGACCCGGCATTGCCCGTGCTTCATTAAAAAAATCGTACGATTCATACAGCAATCGCTATCACTTGACTTAAAATATTTTTGCCCTTCCTTGCCTTTAAAGGAGTGCCCTTTGCCGTGCAAATGTTGCTACATGCCTTACTTCTTGCCTATCTCACACTGCGAAGTTTTTCTAAGCTCTATACTAAACATTAAATCTGTTACGAAAAAAAGAACTAAACAAAATAAACACAAAACGATCAGCTTTAAAAAGGACTCGTAACTGGAAAAACCGAATGAAAAAAGAATGTTAACAACAAATACTTTTTCACACCCAACCCAGTTCTGCGGAATCAGAATCAACGTTGAGTTTAAGCAAGCGAATGAGCCAATTAGAGTAAAGTGCCATGCAGATTTAAATTTTTCCCACTTGTGGCGAATGCAGCTATCGAATTTTTTTGCATGCTAGCATGCTTGTTAACATTCGTGTCAGTCAGCTGTTGGCTCTCACGCTGGCCAATAGAATCTTCCTGCCTATTCGTGGCAGCCAGCTATAGGCTCTCACTCTGGCCAGTAGAAAACTACATGAAAAGTGCTGTAGAAGCATGAAAAAATCGATTATTTCCACTATCGATGGGAGTTGGGAAATGCAACGTCGGTCTTGTCCTTTTCGCTAACTTGGAGCATGTGCATGTCAATTTTGGTTCAAATCCGTCGAAAATTGCGGCCGTGCATTCGTTTCACACACACACACACACACACACACACACACACACACACACACACACCTGTCTTATATATATATATATATATATATATATATATATATATTGCTTACATTGGTTGGTTAATTCCAGTTTTATTTTGAACAACTTGACTAGTATAATAAAATACGACATAGTGTAAAGAGATTGAAGGGGGAGACTGGTATTGACAATAAAAACTATTGACAGAATTTAGCGACGGGAGACTGAAGAGAGAATGTGGCTCCGATTAGGTGTTGTGTATATATTGAGATTGAGTTATTTTATACATGACAGAGACATTTAAGGAAATTTCTTGTGTTTGAAAAGACAAAAGTAACAGGAAAAATGTTTGGAAAAGACAGGAAAGGAAAAGATAAGTAAGCTTATTTAAATTCCATTTTTGAATTTCCTTTGCTTCTGCTTGACGGGATGTGTGTGTAGCGCGGTGGCTATTAGCGCAGAAATTTCGATTTAACAAAAGTGTAAAATGGGCCTATGTCTACCGTTTTGATATTTCAATGTAAACTGGACCTATGTCTACTTTTTGACTCTCGTGTAAACTGGGCCTGAGTTTACCTTTTTCGCTCGCCTGTAATGTGTGCCTGTGTCTACCATTTTGGTGCTCGGGTAAACGGGGCATATGTCTACTTTTTGACGCTCGTGTAAACTTGGCCTATGTCTACCTTTTTGATGATTGTGTAAACTGGAAATATGTCTACCTTTTTGATGGTCGTGTAAACTAGGCCAATGTCTACCTTTTTGATGGTCGTGTAAACTAGGCCAATGTCTACCTTTTTGATGATTGTGTAAACTGGGTCTATGTCTACCTTTTGAATGGTTGTGCAAACTAGGCCTATGTCTACCTTTTTAATGGTCCTGTAAACTGGGCCGATGTGTACTGTTGTGACGCCCGTGTAAACTTATATCTAACCTTTTTTATTTTCATGTAAACTGAACCCATGTATACCTTTTGATTCTCGTATAAACTTGGTCTATGTCTACCTTTTTAGTGCTCGTGTAAACTGCGATTAATTGTTTCATTTTTGACTTTCATGTAAGCTGGACCAATGTCTTTCTTTTGGACGTTTGTGTAACCTGGGTCTACATCTACCATTTTGATGTTCATATAAAATGAGCCTATGTCTATTTTCAATGAAAGCTACCGTTACTATCATTAATCCACAAGCTTTTTTTTTAAGTATTTCCTTGGACTAACATAAATATTTCTCTTTCCTTTGGTGGAAGTTAAAGATAGATTAAGAGAAACTGGTTGTCTTTGAAAAGTGTCATGGATAGAATGAAATACAACACACTTTTGTCGTAAACAATAATTTTTTCAGATTGTCAGACGATTGTCATTTAAACCTAAAGAACAGTGTTGAAAATGTCGCCTTAAGTTCAATTAAAGAACAACAACATTTTCTTACGTAATTTGACGCGGCTGGTTATAGACGTTTTCGAGGAATCTAAAACAGACAACAAATATTCAGAAACAACTTCCACTCACTTAAAATTAGGTTGAAGTTTCTGAAGGTTTCTGAATATTAATACTGAACCTTACCTTTTTTATGCTCGTGTAAACAAAGATTTTTAAAAATCTTTTTGAAATTCACGTAAACTGGGTCCGCGTCCATATTTTTGACGCTCCTGTAAACTATTGATCGACTGTATTGTCTTTTTACTGCCTATCAACCCATTACAGGTTATTTAAACACAGAAAACGTTTTTAGATTGTAGGAATGTGTATGGTCAAAATAATGATAGACTGATACACATCGTGTTAATTAACCCATAGGTGGGAGAGACGAGGAGCAGCATACATTTTCCAAAGGTATTTGCGTGTGAACATAACGAGCCTGACTGGAATTAGAACGCAGCTCTTCGATTTCCAATTCCGAGCCGTTAGCCATTATATCACCTGCACATCTAAGTTTACAGAACCTGGTATTTCCAAGCGCTCACCCATCTAAGTACGGGTCAGTCTCGATGTTGCTTAACTTCGGTGATCGTACAAGATCCAGTGTCTCAACCTGATGTGACCGTAAACCCTCGTGTAAACTTGGCCTAAGAATATTGACACTTTGTTGTTTGTTGGCTAGCTGTATGGCGGATTTAAGAAAGTATCAACCCGCGTTGTGTTACTTCATGTCGAAATTTTTGTTTTTTTTTATTATTTTTACTTGCGTAGATACATCTTGTATTTATATTTGAATCTGTAAGCAACTACTCGTTAGGTAACGTCTTTTTTTTTATCTCTCTGCAGTTGGCGTATTCTAGTCCAAGTTATATCTGCTGTTACTTGAAAAACATTCGGATTTATTATAAGACCGTTTTCAAAAAACCTGTAATTGTTTGAGTGTAATTGATTGACTTTTGATTGATTCGTTTTCTACTGATTATCAATCCTGTACAGGTTATTCAAAGACAATTTTTTTTTGGGGGGGGAGGGTATAATAATGGTTTATTGATATAAGTCTTACTAATTAACCCATAGCTGGGAGGAGAAGAGGTGCATTCATATCTTTCTCACAGTAAGTGAATATAACAAACCCAACAGCGGTTGAAACTCAGCTCTCCGATTAACGATTCTGATTACGTCACGCGCACATCCAAAATTATTGTCCCTGGTATTTCCAAGCGGTCACCAACCTAGGTACTGACCAAGCTCGACATTGCTTAACTTCAGTGATCATACGAGAACCGGTGTCTTAAGCTCCCTGTATTGTTTTAACTGTAGGAAACAAAATGTAATTTTGTTAAATTTAGTTTCCTTTTACTTTATCTTGTTGAGGGTCTCATCTTTTTTTTGTCAGTATTCAATGGGAGACATAGTAAAAAACAAAATTTATTAAGAGCTACAAAGAACAGGAAATTGTGGAGAGCCATGATCGCCAACGTCCGGAATGGACACGGCACATAAAAGAAGATTAAATCGTAATGTCAGGATGTTTGGCTTAATGGTGAAATCGAATAGCATTACGAATCGTTTAATTGATTGAATGTAAACTTGGACTTCAGCCAACGAGAGTATGATAAAATTATTTCGCATTTCATTGGTTTCAAGAGATAGGTATTTTGCAAGACGTCTACCATAATTAATATTTAATCTTTCTATATGAGTTTCTAGGCAGAAACTGAATTCTTTAAATAAAACGTAAACCACGCAAAACAATGAGTTCAAGAATTAATTCTTAAATATTTCTCAAGTTATACTATTTCCAAATTTGTCTTTTACCTATTTTTGGAAGGATTTTTCTTTCTCGATTGTCTATAACCTTGTAAATAATTTGTAAACAAATTCATGGAGAAAATGGAAATGTTTCGTAATACATAAAAATAATAATAATACCGCATGTGTTTCGTAATACAAACTCTCGTAATGTTGAATATGTTCTAAGATCGTAGAAGTTGTCCTTTCAGAAATCAAATATTTGGTCATATTTTGGGAAGGGGGTCGAGTTGAGAACTTTTCACTAGTCTCTCTTAGAGATTATAAGTATTTATCTGTCTACCTTGTTTGACGCTCGTGTAAAATGAGCTTGTGTCTACCTTTTAAACTTTCATGTAAACTGGACTTATGTCCACCTTTTGACTCCTCGCGTAAAATGGGCCTATGACTACCTTTTTGACGCCCGTGTAAACTGGGCTTGTGTCTACCTTTTTTTTTACTTTCGTGTAAACTGGGCTTGTGTCTATCTTCTTTTTTTTAATCTCGTGTAAAATGGGCTTGCGTCCACCTTATTTTACTCTCCTGTAAACTGGCCTTGAAATTACTTATTCATGAGGATGCTACTTCACACATAGTTATTATCTAAATTTTTATCTGAACTTTTAATTGTGTATTATTCCATCTCCATGAATGATATTAAGTATTTAAAAAAGGACTTGAAAATGAAACTTTATAACAATGTATAAAATAAATATATAAGAAATCTTGACTGATAATATTCTTTTCCTTGTGCAAAGGAAAACTTTTTTCCAAATAAAACGTCGAAAATATTTAAATATCGAATGTTACGAATAATTACTGACGTTACAAATGTTGTGAATGTTATAGTTAATAACAATCATTATGGATGGCTTTAAGCGCTACAATAGTACACTTACTCATTGGCTGGCTTTATTGCCAGAAATATTTTCATCTCTTCGCATTTATTCTGAGAATCAATCTATTTCCATAAGGTCGACTCGTACTGGCATGCAAAAAAATTCATTAACATATTTTTCTTCCAATTTTTTCTTCGAAACGATTTGGAGGGAAATTAAGATTAAGAATGAAGCTGCGCGCAGAATCTAATATCCTAGTATAAGTATTTACCTTCTTCTATCGGTCTATATGCTCATCTTCCCTGTGTCCTATGTCAGTTGGTGTAAAAAACAAAGACGATGATCCTTCTCCAATGGAATCATGCGTAGCAGTTGAAATCTCTTTTGCATTCATTTTACATACCGCAAGTGAACAATTTTTGTATAGTATATTGTTGGGGTTTGAATTTGGAGACATCATTCCCATAGACTGGGTTTCAACCACAACTAAAGAACCTAGTCTGCTCTTCTGTTTAACATATTGTTGCGGAGAAGAGGCGTATTCATATATTTCCCAGGTGTATTTGTGCGAAAGGGAGTAACACAAACTCCATATAAGTTCATCCTGAAAATTTTATATCCAATTGTAACTTGAGTTAAATCTCTGGTAACTAGAAAAGTTATTTTTTCGGAATCCACTCAGGTAGTCAATATACCTTATTTTTATATTATAAACAAGAACATTACAGGTCAGTCGAAATCAAATCATATACGGTAGCTTTCGGTAAATTTAATGTACTGAAAAAATAAAATAAATGAAAAAATTCCTTTACAGTGCTGTTCGATAAAAGTGACTCATCTGATTTTTTACTTAAAATTTTTTTCGCCTATTGTTTTTGGAGTCAAACTAATTTTGAATTTTACTAATATAAAGACCCCTTCCCGACCACCTAGTAAAAAGTTTACTCACCCTAAGTTACTCTATTGATAATTATAATTTTGGATATAACTGAGATTTAGGGAAAAACACTGTGCAAAAAAAAGTGGCTCACTTATTTCCTGCAACTAGTAATCAATAGAAACATCACCGAACAGCTTTAAATAAAGAATAATAGAGGTATAATTTATTTATAATAGGTAATTTAGTTCGAATTATTTAATAATCTATGGGTAATCCTTTATTTTGAATAACCTTTTCAACCTTTTTGGCATTGACTTGATTAGGTTCTGGCAAATCTTATCTCCAGGCGTTGAATTCCATTCGGACATGAAATTCACAATCAAATCCTCTCTGTTGCTCAACTGCTTTCCGAAGAGCTTGTACTTTATAATGCTCCATAAGTTTTCTATGAGGTTGAAGTCAGGAGATTGGGGCGGCCATGTCATAATACTCACCTGTTTCTCATTAAAGTATTCCTTCATCAATTTTGATTTGTGACAGGGAGCATTATCCTGCATAAAAATGAGCTTACTGGGGTCGATTTGCACCCTTTCAACAGAAGGGAGCACACAAGACTCTAAAATTCTCTTGTACTGCTCGCTCCTGAGGGTTTTTCCAATAGGTTTTAAGAAACCAGTTCCATGAAAAGAAAAGCATCCTCAGAACATTATACTGAACGGACGCTTGACAGTACTTACTGCTAAATTCAAACTGCTTTCAAAACTTCTTCGGATTTTTTATCGCTTATCCTTTGAATTTGGCTCAATTTTCGTTTCATCGGAGATGACAACATTCTTCCAATCTTCTATGATGAAATTTTTGTAATAGTGAGCCCATTCAAGTCTCTTGGCTTTGTTGGCTTTGCTTATTAGTGGCTTAAATCTTCGTGTACAAGATTTGTAGCCTTGTTCTAACAGCCACCGATGGACTGTAGAAGAGGAAAGACTAACACCTTGCTCTTTGCTTAGACTGGCTGCAATTTCTTGGCTAATTATAATCCTATTCTTCGCGACTTCTCTCTTGATTGCCCTACCAGTTCTATCATCAATCTTTTTCTTTCGTCTCCTTGTTTCTTTCCTTGGAGCATGAGTGGCATCATTATGTGCCCTAAGCACTCGAGAGACAGTTGATTGTGAGGTTATAGCAATTTCTGCAATTTCTCTCGTAGACTTGCCTGCTTTTGAGAGGGCAATAATAGATGCTTTAAGTGGTTCTGAGTGGCTATTTCAAGCTGTTTTTATACTGTATGAGGCTTTCTGGAATTTAATTTAAGCTGTTCTAGAATTCTCTAGAATATTGTTTTGAGTGTATTGTAAAATAGTTTCAATCATTAGAATGCGATATCTGAGTCCCTTTTTTTTTTTGCACAGAGTTTTTTTTCCTGAATCTCATTTATATCCAAATTTATAATTATCAATAGAATACCTTAGAATGAATAAACTTTTTTTCCTAGGTGGTCGGGAAGAGGTCTTTATATTAGTAAGATTAAAAATTATTTTAACCCCAAAAACAATAGACAAAAATATTTTTTAAAAAATCACGTGAGTCACTTTTATCGAACATCACTGTGTGTGTGTGTGTGTGTGTGTGTGTGTGTGTGTGTGTGTGTGTGTGTGTGTGTGTGTGTGTAAAACGAAACCTTAAAGCAAATGGAGGAATATTTACTACTCTTTTGATTGTGACCTTCAAAGTAAAATAATTATGTTATTAAGTTTGCGTTCCGACTTCATACCTTATCGACCAATCGGGAAATCAAAGCGACTTACTCTGTAGCCATTGAACCAAACAGCAGATGAAAGGAATTTTACCATACCATCCGTTAGAATGGTCACTCTATAATCGATAGAATAAATTTGCTGATCGGATCACTAGTTTCGGACATAGACCAACAAGCGAAGAAATTGGCATTCAAATCACTACCTACTTAAAATATTGGGGAAAATTTTGATTATACCCAATTACTCTATCATCGATTTAAAAGACATTTTACAGCCGATAACTGAACTAAGAGATAGGAATCGTAAACTGCGTACGAACGAGTCTCGCGTACTGCGTGGCGTCAATCAAACTCCAATGTCAACTAGAAAGGAATCAAAATCTGTCATCTTCATTCAACCTTGATGCAAATAAGTCTCATTTACATATATTAAGAAGATAAATTGTGGGGTTTAATTGAAATTTTAGCCCTTTGTTGCAAATCAATTTCTCTTTGCAATGTTTAGTTGTTTGAACTTGTTAGTCGATGAATCAATAAATCTATAACCTGACATGTAATTGTCAGCTTAATTGTGAGCTGAAATTTTTGCTGTATAATGTTCAATATACGTGATTAAAATCTAACGCAGTGGCGGTGCTAATTAAATGATAAAACCAGACGTAAACTTCATACCCTAGCATTTTAGTTCTGGTCTAATACGTGGACATTACATACCGTCTGCGATGTGTCGAAGACTGCCCGAGACAACTTCCGGTGAAAGTTTTTACTGATTTTCTAAGCGTATCTTAGATGTGGCACACGGCGGAAAGTATGGGGCACCCAGTGAGGATCGAACTCATTCCCTAGTCGTACTTGTTTTAGCGAGACAAGATTGCTAACCATTACACCACACTGAGGTGTCCCATATTGATTTTCCAAGCATAGCTTAGATGTGGCACAAGGCGAATGTAGGGGCACGCAGTGAGAATCGAAGTCACTACTCAGTTTTAATCGTTGTAGACAGACAAGCTTGATAATAATTACACCACCT